CGAATTCTTACGTTGGTCATGTGCGAAAAATTCGTCTCCCGCATCGGCATCGGCACGAAAAAGATTCACCCGAGTATGACTGTATTAATAATTATTATTACGAACGATCCGCATGTCTCAGCGGTTCTTCTATCTCACCTATAAAAAAAAAAGCCCTGAATGCGCCGCTGCCTCGAGCTTTACTCGCGGCAAGTGCAACGTGGCGAGGAGGGGAAGGAGGAGATTGCCGCCATTGTTACCGTTTTAGCTTTTTTCATCGATTACCGTTACCCCAAAGAGATACCCCGCGAAGCTTAGCACCGACTGGAGGACCGTCCTTGTCTCGTGTATCCCCCCTGTATCCCTGGGATTAGACGTGGCTTTAATGCCCGACGACAAGGGATTTCGACGGTAATTGAATGAGGATACGCTGCTCCGCGCCGCAGCGGCACGCCGTCGCACGGCTCAAAGTTAAAAGTGTTTACCTATCGTGTATACCTTTAACATAAACACTCGCGACGAGTGCGAGACAATCGCGCATGCAAACGTGTTCGTTTCCTTGAGTTTTCGCGAGCCGCGACACCACGATAGCCGCTCTATATACGTACACACGCGAGATAAAGGATAAACGCACGCACACGCACATACACAGAGACACGTGTATGCGTTGTGCGTTGTCGTTATGCAAGGTGCGCGATGAACACCTTTGAACACCGCGGGCTGGTATACGCGCGTTAATTCTTTCTGACTGGCCCGGACGAACGGAACCGGAAGCGATGGCCCTCTTTTTGTGTCAGCTGCTCCGTATACCTTGGAGGCATGGAATCTCGATTCGGCTGAGATTCGGTTTTGATCTGTCGCGCGGAAGAAACCGGTCGCTCTCGCTCTCTCTCTCTCTCTCTCTCTCTCTCTCTCTCTCTCTCTCTCTCTCTCTCTCTCTCTCTCTCTCTCTCTCTCTCGCTCTCTCTCTCTCTCTCTCTCTCTCTCTCTCTCTCTCTCTCTCTCTCTCTCTCTCTCTCTCTCTCTCTCTCTCTCTCGCTCTCTCGCTCTCTCTCTCTCTCTCTCTCTCTCTCTCTCTCTCTCTCTCTCTCTCAATCGAACGTCCACGGGGCAATCCGTTGTCGAGCCCATACAATCGGCTGGCTGAAGATCACCCTCGCCCACTCTCGCCGCTCGCGCTCGCCCGTGAACGTGTCGGCGAACGAGAACGTTGCGCGGAGGAAACAACTTGTACCATACGTGAATATATCGGCGACACGTGCGCGCGGTATTTCGCGGACGAGTCAAAGTTCAGCCGATGCGCACGCGAGTCGAGACAGGATAAATTACTGAAAAGACAACGCGCGCGAAATCGCGCCGTGCCGTGCCGTGACACTTTCGCGCTCGCAGTAATGACGAAACGATCGCGCACGGCGCCTGTTTAATGTGATAATTAATCGCGTGATTATTATTAGACGGCAGGCATTTAACATACGCGGTCGCGAATTTTGCACGAAGCAGCGAACCGGTTGTCCTCTCTCTCTCTCTCTCTCTCTCTCTCTCTCTCTCTCTCTCTCTCTCTCTCTCTCTCTCTCTCTCTCTCTGTTGCTGGTTTATGCAAATGTCGATCGCGATGTGTGTGTCTCATTGTAATGCGCCGCGTGTAAAATATCCGAAGTGTTGCCTCCCAAAATAAAGCGGACCGGACGACCGCATCGACACATTTTAAATTCCGCAGGTACTTTAAATTCGATAAATATTCCTATATTCGGATCACCGAGAGAATAGGACTGCGCGCAATTATACATTCGAACGTTTCGGAACAACGGAATATTCCGATATTTCGAATTTCAAGAGCGTTTCTCCCATTCGCGATAAACGCGAGCCGGTATTTCGCCAATGGCCGGATATTTTGACAAACCGCTTCTCCATTACCGCACTTGGAGCTTCCCGATCGAGGAATTCCTCTCTCGTCTACTCCGCCTTACTCCGCCGCGCGAATCACCCGAGAATCGTACTCCCATTCGAACACACGAACAACGCGGTTAACTTGCGCGGTTAACGCAACCATGTTCTTCGTGTTCGCGGAATACTTTAATAGTCGTAGTCTCGCAATAAAGCTCGCCGGTGCGATCCGCGCGGTGGATCGCCGCGCGGATGATTCGAGAGCGTGCCTGCGCGCGCGGAGCGGACACACGACGACGCTTCACACACACGTGGGCGGAAGGTAGGTCAAGCTGTAAAAAGCTGTTGAAGCACATGGTCGGTCGGCCGGCCGGCCGGCCGGCCGCGGCATATGCATACACGTACATAATTCGCAAGGCGATTTACCAGCGTGTCGAGCGCAACTCAAAGGAGCAGCCAGCTGAAGTGTGCTAGGCGCGCGAGGCTACCTTCGCGCACGCACGAGTAGTCAGGTGGCATCGGTGAGCGCAAAGCGGTTATTTTTAGTTCAATTTGTCGCTCGAACGGTACCGCAAAGCGTGTGGCGCGGCTTTCTACAGGGATTTTCACGTAAGAGCGCGCTCGCGAATAAACGTCGCCGGGATCGTTAAAAGCGTCAACTAGTTTATCGCGGCGGAACTTTCGCCGCCCTCTTCTCCTCCCTCCCAGCCGTGCGCGCGCGAGCGCGAGAGCGCGGGATTACTTTGTGTATATAATTCCGCACGAAACGTAAATTCAGTAGCGATCGTCATCGGGGCGTAAAGTCGACGGCCGTTTCGTATCGTCCCTTCGGCGCGGGTGTCCCTCGAGAGACACGGACGTTTCGCGGATTAACTCCCGACTACGGCGAGACGCCGTGTGATGAACTTCCTCCTCTCGCTCGCGCGTCTACCGCGCGCGTCACGCGAATTACAGGGGTAATCTCGCGACGCGATGTTTTCGCGACGGAAAACGCTTTGTTAGCGCCGGTGACAGCGCCGTACTTGTGAGTTGTCTGTAATTGGCAAATATTACGCTGGCACGCTGAGCTGCCAGCGTAGTGCCGTAGCTATTTTTATTACTCGCTTTGTAAAAAGCAATAGACGTCTAACGCCTGAGTTCGGGAAATTCATTTGGGAAAATCGCTGACGAGATCCGTTCGCACGCGTGAACGAGAAAAAGTGCGTAATTTTGTTTCTCAACCATGGAGCATACTCGGCTCGCGCGACTGAAATTTTGAAAACTCTAGATCTGCATACGATGAAACTACGTAGTAATGATGATGGAAAAATGATATATCTTCTTCTTTATACGAGAGACTTCAGTTTGCAAATTTTGTCGACAAGATGACGTAAAATGGGCACTCGAACGTAGCTGAAGACTCGCGAATACGCTATTTCACGATCGGTTCCATTGTTTCGTTCAATTATGCTCTCCGCGATTTGCGGATAAATATGTAACAATGTGTACATTTACTCACGCTTCGCGCGTCGTCCATTGTACCGTCCTGTTTTGCTACCGTTATTCGCAACAATGGCGAAATGATTTCTCCTGAGTTCACTTGCGGCTTCCAGGTAAGCTCTGTAATCACAACGTGTAACAATAACGAAGATGAATCACGATATAACAAAATATGTCTGAGTAAAATTTACTTTCACTTATTTGTATATTGTATTCTTTTAAGTGAAAAGGCAGCAACGCGTACACGGTACGTCGTTTTCTCTCAAATGAGGGGGCAAATTTCGTAATATAAATTCCACGCAAATATATATTTTATCTCTACCAGTTCTTTCACTGTTTGATACATTTCGAACAATACGCATCGAATACTTTAAAGTCACATTTCATCACAGTCAATCTGTATTACGAGATATATTTGCTAAGCATTCAAACGTGTTGCTATTTTAACTAGCTGTTATCTATAAACCAATCAACTGTATCAAACGATCTAACCGCCCTGATATCTTTAATGTGGTTTTCCAATCAGTGGCTCGTAAGTATATAGAATTATCCGCTCCTGATGCTTCCGCGGAGGAAAAAATAGACTGGACCAAGCTCAGCGATGTGTAATTAGCAAAGAGTCAGCGTTCTTTCTCGCTGGGAAAAAGGATAATTTCGCGAAGTCGATGTTTTCATAGCACACAATGGGAGTTCGGACGGTGCGAAGTTGGAGCGCGTTCGCGGAGCGTTATGCGCCGTTATACCTTTATACGCGGCCGGCAAATCAAAATCAATAAGCCGATTATTGGCCGCACTGAGCGGAGATTACGTCGCTTTGAATTGACACCCCGACCGACGGCGAGCCTCGTGTGCCGATTCAATCCCGCGGGCTTTCCCGACAGGCGGACGTCCGTCCCAGTTCCTTTTTCCTCGAATACGACCACGAGCGAGCGAGCGAGAGGGAGAGGAGAGAGAGAGAGAGAGAGAGAGAGAGAGAGAGAGAGAGAGAATGAGTGAGGAAGGAGGGAAGAAGGAGGTGCGGGAGGGAGGAACGGTGCGCGTTCAATGCGAGTTAGCAACCGACGTCTCGCTCTCGCGTTTCCACGTTTTCCAGCGCGTTTTCCTCATTCCCTCGCGAACGCGAACGCGAACGCGAACGCGAACTCGACACGCATTCAGGCGACTGTGAAAGACGCGACCGGCTCTCTCTCGTTTTCCGCGTAATTTCATCTCTTTTCCAGCGACCGCGTATTTACCATGCCGGAAGAATTTATCAATAGCGCGGGCGTTAATGTCGCGACGCCGTCGATACGCGGCGCCACCGTACAGCGTCGCAATTATGAATACATACGAGTGGTTATGACTCGACAAGAAAAGCCCCGCGGCGGGCGGGCGGGGGGGGAAGCACATCGCGTATACATGTGCGTTACAACCTCTGCTCCGTCAACTACGTTCTATGATTTCCAATCACTTACTTGCCGACTTTCTCCTTCGGCGGGTCGGAAGAGAGCTGAACGAGCTGGAATCCGGATTTTCAACTGCCGTGCACGGCGAACGCGCGACACTTGGCTCGGCACTTGCAACGACGCCCGTGATGCCTTCGACGATTATTCACCGCGACGAACGTGCGAAACTTACTCGACGATACCCCGCACGCGCGCGACTCCTTAGGCGGAACGAGATCGCAGAGGGTAGTCCGAGTTTGAACTTGGAGCCGCCATCAACGCGATCAACACGCGCGACACTTTGCTTCGATACTGCCTATTTCGTCACTCGTACTCGCTCTCGGTGACTGCAGCTCAACGACGCGACAAGCGCACGAAAGTCCCACACATTTGACCCTACCGGCGGCATTAATATGCGCGCGACACTCGCTTCCGGCAAGTCGAAATTGCGAGAAGCACGGGACGATTCTTCGAATCCGAACCGCCACGCCGCGTCACGTCCGATCCTGTAACTGTTTGCCCGTATCGCGACGATTGCGATTCTCGAAGTATCGAATGCACGAACTTTACTCGATACCGTCGATACCACGTACCTCCTCCGTATTGCATTTGCGTGACGATATTCGAGCGACGTTTCGCTACAAAATTTATCTTCCCTTTGCTTACTTTGATCTCGACAATAATTCATGAGCCATATTCACCCTCGACAGATTACAATCGCGTAGATCGGCGACTCGAATTGCAAGCGCAATTGTTCGCCATTGTGCGACGAGAACCGCGACCGACACTCAGCTCGGCGCTGCCGGCAACGACCGGTTTCGCAAAATATTCGCGTTCGCCCGCGGGTTTACCGGTGTTTTAGTACGACAAACACGCGACGTTCGGTCTCGGCATTCCCGTCGATGACAATTCACACGTGATACTCACTTTTGACGGGCGGAAACCACACGAGAATTATGGAGCGGCTCTTCAACCGAACTCACCCGCTGCGACCCGTTTCGGAAGAGATCGCAAGATGGCAGCCGATACAATTCCCGATGCGTCAATACGTCAGTCAATTTCGTTACTCATATAATTTCCTCAAAAATCTAATTCCCTTAAGAATCTCATTATTTCGAGCACGTCAGGGGTGTTGGAAGTGGTCTTAATATCCGACAAGTTAAGGAAAACAATTAACGTTGAAAACATACGATTCAATTGTTATTGAAAGCTACTCGGAGGATTGTTAAATAAACTAGTGTGGTAAGATCACGTGATCGTAACGGTTGCAGCAGTCGTGGTGTTGTCTCGTGTCGGTTCGAAATCGGATCGCGGTCGTTCCGTGTATTCGTCGCGTCTTTTTACACGTCGAGAGCGAATTCCGTGCACGGACTGGTGTCGGGTGTGCCGAATCGAGTGACGGACGAGCGCGTCGATCGGTCCAGGCGAGTCCGATTTAAACGCGATGTCTTTTGGCCGTCGTAACCGATGTCCATTACGTCCTGCTGTGAAAACACAGCGACACATGAACAAAACGAGATTGCGTCCATTACCATTTGACAAAACGAATGCTTCCAGGTTCGAGGTTTATGCTATGTATTACGTTTACGGCGCATTTGTATAATTATTTCATTATAACCTATATAATTAATACGAGTCGTGTTACGGATTTAGCGAGATTGTTTGTGCACAAACAGTGAACATAGGTATAGGCTCCGTTAATGGGTGTGATATTACTCATTTATTCATAAATAATTCGCTAAATAATACATATCGCGGCTCGAGTTTCAATGATTTAAATAAGCATTTAACGAAATGTACGGCGTTAGATAAACTATATTCGAATATATGTTGTTGTACAAGTATAATGGTCTTTATTTCATATTACTGTGTAATATAATCCTGCTGAGAATAACTGCTGACTCTATTTAAATATTGTTATAATAACCAAGTAGATTTATTTATAGTTCTTAATATTAATGCGATATTAATGTGATCACAAGTATTTCAAAATATTTTAAAACTCTCTAAGAAACTCTCAAACAAGTGTCAATTTTATCACAATTCTTTCTTTTTAATTGCAGCTTGGTAAGATGGGACAAATTGCAAGTAGAACACCTAAAACATGGAATGATCTCATGAATGAGAGAGATTATGTCTTACACTGGAGCTCTGAAGTATTGGCAAGGGTACAGGATAGTGTTATAAATGAAGATACATTCTTGATTGATTACGATGATGACAAGATAGATATTAAAATTGGTACATGGATTACAAATAATCACGCACTAGTTGATGAAATACTTAACAAATATCCAAATGTGCCAGATGAATATCGAACTGTAGTCAAGGCTGAAATGGAAAAAGTAATTACTCCCATTTCTCATTATAAACTATAATGGTATAAATATAAAATGCATATTACTAAATTTAATAGTCTGTTGTAATATTTACAGCTTATCGGAGAATTACGAACAAATACACGAAAAGATTACCATCGCGCATATAACAATATAAGAAAGTTCAACAAAAGAGTTGATTTATTGGGCAAAAAGGAAAGAGAGATACACTTCAAAATACAAGAGCTAAAAGAGGAATGCACGGAAAACACACAAAAGTTCGAAAAGAAATTCAGACCACTGCGTGAAAAGGTCTTCAATAACTTGATAATCAGCGAGAAGATGATGTTCCAAGATAAAAGGCTCAAAGTCAATTTTACTAAAAAGGTATTTGTTTCCTTCTTTAAAGATGAAATTTCACAATCTTTATACCTTTATACCTTTATTGCCTATAATAATATTGCATATAATTGCGCGTTTCGTTTCCTAGGTTTATGATATCGATCACAAGAACTTCAACGATTACGCGAAACGAGTCGAGAAGTTACTGAGAAACTTCGAGAATATTGTGTGACGAACGTAGACAACGTAGATATCGAGAGAAACGCAAGAGACGTCTCGTTGTCAATTCATAGCAACACACACACATACACACATATACAGGTATGACCAGTTATTTATGCCATATATATGCTATATATATTATGCTTTTGTAAACATTTTTTCAATGAAATCTGATATATGCAATCATGATTTAATTAAATAAATAAACTAATTGAGTAAGAGTTTTAATTTTAATTAAATAAGTTAAACTATTCATGTTTCGTGTTGGCTCTTGCTTGGGCAAAATACTTTGAGGGGTATGGGTTTGTAATTATTTGTATGTACATAAAAAGAAGAGATAGCTTCCTTCAATATATCTTTTAATACGAAGAAAAAGAACCGATCCATCTTGCTCGATCAGTTATACTACAAGGAAACAATTTACGGTTAAATGTTTATATGTAGCATTCGTTTGCACAGTAACATATATCACAAATAGTATATCTTGTTTTTATGCCAAATACAGTTATGATACGCTAAACATATTCAAGTCGAAAGAATATCATATTGCATATATATGTATCAAACATTATTTAACCTTCTGTCTCAGAACTCAGAACTGTATGATATGAAGCATGTATACAATCGTTCGCTATACTTGTCCTCATAGAGGACATCTCATCTGAAAGCGCTATACAATCATGCACGCGCAATACCATATACATATATTTATACATATACATATAGTTACATACGCATAACTTAACACGTGAGTGTCAGCGTCACTAAACCCGTGTTTGCTTCAAGTCATTAAGAGACTGATCGACTCGCAAATTGACAACGCATGGGACAACGCGTTGATTATTTTTATTTCCAAAAGGAGCGATGGATAGTATCGTCAAATATCGACAATAACGCGACACTCACGGCTTCACGGTTTTCCGTGAAGCAATGTGTAGAGATAACTTAATACTGACTACGAGAGTACACCGAAGATATCGCAAGAGATAAAATATTACATGTATTACAATAATGACACGACGCGCGAAATGAGCGATCACGTTTCGCTCGACACGTGAAGTCTACAAGATATTGATGAGATTTGTTCGCGTGTACTTTGTACATTCTGCTAGGCATTTCTCTTTTTCCGTTTGATTTCCTCCTGAAGGGACGTGAAATTTCACTTTCGCTTGCTACACTTTCGATGCAGGAAACTTAGAAAGAATATACGACGCTCAAAACAATTTTTAGCATCACAATGCGGCACCTACGCGGGAGTAGCTTGTGAATTAGATCGAATAAGTGTCCGATCTAACACATATCACAGCTGAAATGCTAACTTAGTCAAACTATCGATGGGTCAAAGTTAAAAAGAGTCTTTTACCACCATTCTTTCAAACGTTTATGTGTAACAATATGAATATTCCATATGAATCAGTTATTAGTCAATCCTCTAGAAGAGTGATATGATTATCTAGAAGCGCGATATCCCTAAGACAAATGACTCACAAACGCTTTAAACTAGCGTCAGACGACACATCAAGTTTGTCTTGCAAAGAACTTCCTAAACTGTGATATATACTGTGATAACTGCGACAAGTTAAAGTGAAACAAGCATATATTCTTTCACTCCAACTTATAGCATCAATATACATCAGGTCAGAAAGTTCTTTGGAAAAGAACAGACTAATGATTTCATATATTCTAACATGCACACTGACCGGCACATTGTATGAAACTCTATTGCTGCACTGCACAGGTCGCTATCATGCGTTGGTAGATCTGATTGAACTGAGGTTACACAGTTCTACTGAATGAACTACTAGCATACTGAGCAATATACATATCAGAATATGTAAAATCGTGCATCGTCTGACGCTAACTTTATGTCATATGTTGTAACTCTACGGATTCGAGTGTTTATCAGAGTAAGTTATGGAACGTACAGATGTAAAGAATTCGAGAGAAATACGCTCATACAGGCTAAAATAAGTCTGGAAGTATTATCTGGATAATTGTACCGTTTCCCGAGCTGAAGACACTCATCACTCGTTATCGAAATCCCGGAAAATATTCCGAGAACGCGATATCTAAGTTTATTGTCACGGCGCATACGTAAAGTTATTGTTACATCGTTAAAATATCTCCAGAGAGAGAGAGAGAGAGAGAGAGAGATTCGCGCAATGCGAGCTGAAACGATACGAAACATAATCGCGTCGCAAACGGCGGGAGCGAACGCAGGAAGGAAGATACGCTTGCAGGTACTCGGACGATAAGTTACTAAGTTCCCTCGATTTTTAAGAATCGTCACTGTCGCTTTCTCGTTGTTCCCGCGATGCCTCGTCCGCGCACTGCGCGCCGTCCACGTTTCTGTCGAGATGATGCGAGTTCCATAATGGAAGCCACTTGTTTACGAACCACCAGTGCACGGACAGTCTGCCGTGGTTGCATTCTGTTCTCTCGCATCTGCCGAGAAACTGGCATATCCCGGCCAAGCTGCCGCTTTGACTACGAATGCAAGAGTCGTCGCAGGTGTGTTGACGCTCCACGTAGCGGTTCACAGGACAGATAGAAGCATTGGACGCGGAAGTGCCCGGTGCGAATACCGAACGTAAGATCGACGACGAATTGGAGTCGTTGAATCTAGAGGCCGCGTTGTTCGAAGTTGAAGGCCCGGAATCGGCCACACTTGATGTATTTGCGCAGTTGGACGCGTTTCCATTCCCGTGCATGGAAGCGCGGTCTATCCTGCCGACGTGAATCGTAGCATATAGAGGATTGTTGACAGATTGGCCGGTCCGACTGACCCAATCCAGATATCTCCCGATGTAAATCGCAGAGTTCACGTCGGACAGGATCTTACTACGGCAATTGCAATTGGCGGGATTTCTACAGTGACAGCACTCCATTCTAAACAGCTCGGCGGCGCGTGGAGCATTGTTAGGAAACTTCGTGTAGGGATACTCGCCGCGACAGAACGGGCATCTGCAGTTTCTCGAGAGTTGGTACACGTAATGCCTGGAAGTAGCAGCGACGTCTTGGTATCGCAATCTGTTGTGCAAATTGTGACAATGGTGGCAGAGGTATCTCGCGTCTACGTGCCTGCAATATGAACATGTACAATTGTTGTACACAAACGGGTGAACGGAGCGTCTCGTAGAAGCGTACGCGATGTTCTCCGTTGAGAAGCAGTTGCGACCTAATCTGCTGAGAGAGCTTTGGCAGAGGTTACTACTACTCAGTCGAGAATAATCCAGATAAATGTGTCTCAGTTGGTCATATTGGCTCGCTTGGTTTCTGGCACCCTCTACGTCGTTGAAGAAGCTATGAGCGGCGGATACGTGATTCAATTCGTGATATTTGTAACCGCGATAATGCGCCCTACCGCTGCACGATATCCGTTCGTCGATCCTCTCGTACATATGATCCATGTTACCCGGATTGTTTTGCGCCAAGGACTCGTTTCGCGGTGCGTCGTGCGCGTTCGCGTGATCTTCGTCGTCGTCGTCGTTGTCCAGACGCTCGTAAATGTTCTCCTCCGGCTCCTGCTGCTGCTGCTGCTGCTGCTGCTGCTGCTGCTGCTGCTGCTGCGGCGGCGGCAGCTGCTGTAGTTGTTGCTGCTGTTGTGGCTGCGGCTGCTGCTGTGGTTGCTGCTGCTGCTGCTGCTGCTGTTGCTGTTGCTGCTGCTGCTGCTGCTGCTGCTGCTGTGACTGTAGTCGAGCCCGATTATAGTTGCGTATCAAGTTGATCGTATTTTGGTAAAATGGATTCAAATTCTGATGAATCTGTACCGTGTTATTGGAGGGACGGTTTTGAAAGCGACGTGAGCCATGAGCCACGTTCTGGTAGGCGCCGACATTCTCTCGCTCCTGATTATTCCGGCCTTGGTTCATCATTACCGCGGCCAGCTCACCGTTCTCGTATATCCGACAAACGCAACGCGGTCCCTGACAGTTGTGACTCACGCCGCGATGTTGTGCTTGTACGCCGCTGGGCCCGGCTTCCCGCGAGGAATCCGATGTCTCGGTACTCGGGTCCGTGTTCTGTTCCGTCGTATGCCCAGCGGACTGTAGACCTCACATCGTCGCCGCCGGGGCCATCGGTTTGTCGATGATCGCTACGCCCGCATAACTACGCCCGACTCCCATGCACGTTGGTAGAGTTGTCCAGGTGTCTGTTCTAGGTGAGTACACCTCCACCGATGCCAAACTGGACGAACCGTCGTCTCCGCCCACCACGTACAAAAGTCCATTTAACGCCACCACGCCTGCCGGAAGTAACATTTGCATCGGTTTCAAGTAAAATTCCTTTTTTTCTGCTGATCTTGAAGAAAAAAAATGAATATGCTGAAAGATATTGACGACGTTTACCGGCATTTCGACGACAAAGCGCCATGTCGCTGACGGGAGTCCATTGATTCGTGTCCGGATTAAAAGCCTCCACGCTTTTTCGAACCAGTGGACCGTCGTGGCCTCCTACCGCGTATAGAATTCCATCCAGTACGCCGACGCCCGCGCCGCTACGACGCGCGGACATCTCCGGCACGGGTTTCCATTTATCTTTTTCTGGATTGTAACACTCGACACTCGAGAGACACTGACGGGATTCTCCATCGTAACCGCCGACCTAATCACGATGTTTCCACTGCGTTAAACGAACAATGGACAAGATTGTGTGTTATAGCTAAAAATAGAACAATGCACTCACGGCATAGAGCAGTCCCTTGACAACACCGACTCCTACGCTGCTGCGTCGCGTTGACATTCGCGCTATTGGTCTCCATTCGCGAGTTCGCGGATCATATACCTCGGCAGAATTTAATCCTGTAGAACCATCGAAGCCACCGACCTACGTCAACGCAGTTGACACGTTGAATTTCCCAAATTTTAAGTACGGAGATGGAAGATAGGAAAGATTATTCGCGATAGAAATTCACTCGATTGTTGTATCCACATTTTGGAGATACTTTAATCAACCCTTTTGAATCGACTTCATCGAAGTATGATGCGAGCTCAAGATCAATAAGCAAAGACTGCAAAAAAAGACAAGGAGAAGACACGGTGAGATAACGTACAGCGTAAACCAAATTGCCCAACACCGCCACACCGAGAGTTGATCTTCTCGCTTCCATCTCAGGACAGGGCGACCACTGATCGGCCGCTGCGTCGTAGATATCGACTGTACGTACTCTCAATGATCCGTTGAATCCACCAACAGCGTACACGCGTCCACTGAGAACGCAGAGTCCTACGACAATGGCATATGCGTGACACTTTGCAGAAAAGCAGAGAAAACAATCGCTCAAATATCGCTAACTAGATCGCTATTATTCACCAGCTCTGCAACGTCGCGTTGGTAGCTCGGAAACTTGATACCATTTCTCCTCCTTGAAGTCGTAACATTCGACGCTTCTAATCGCTTTTGGGGCCTGACCACCGACGACAAGCAACACCTTCGGCAATCCTCTTGGTTGTCTCGGCTTCGTACGCGGAGTTTTAAATAGAGACTTCTGCTCGCCCTTCAATAAGTGATATTTTAAAGCCTCGATCAAAAAATCCTTGCCTGTAAAAAGAGGAAAGAGGAGAGTTGTATAATATGGATTAAATGAAAACTTGATGCAAACACACAAATGCAAACGAGTGCAAAAGAAACAGTGATATTTTTCTTATTCCCCATTTCTACAGAATTTAATAAAACTACCTTACTTTATCTTATTTTGTCGGTATTGTCGGTCTCACGGATGTGTACTTATTCTAGATGCTTCAGTTTAATAATTCCAACGCTCTTTTTCTTTCTCTAAAGAAAATCCGAGCAAAATTGAAATGTTGGTTTTTCAGATGTTTGTGTTCTAGAGATATCTGTCTTATTTACACTCGTACATCCACGTATCAAGTTCTCAAGTTGACTCATATTATTACATATTTAAGAATCTGTTATATATATTATTCCTTTATATCTATATAAGCATTCCATTATTTTATACATATTCCAAGAATGTGCATCTTCTTGATCGTCGAAATATCGTCGATAGCAAACTCACATTGTAAATTCGCTTTGAGAAGCGGCTCTTCCTCCACGCGTTGCACTAGATATTCTTGAGAGAGCAAAGGTAAACGTACGTGCTCCATTAACAGAGCCAGGTCGTTTTGTCTCTTTTCGAGATCGTGATGTACCCATGAAATAACGCATTCGAACACTTTCTCCTCGGTAGGTACCATTAGGCGATCGCTGCAAATGAGCTTAGCCACTTGCTGAGGCGCCAGCGTTAAGAATTCCTCCGCGTCGACCACTTCTCTGTAATCCATATTATGCAGCCAATTAAAATCGCTAATGCAATCCGATCGGGACCGACTGATACGCAACACGACTTACGAAAAGTGTTGCTCAATGTAGCTGTCCGCGTGCGCCAACAGCTCGAGACATCCGTGCAGATCCGCGAACGCTCTAATGCCGAGACAATTGGACGGATGCAACTGAGCCTGTAGAAAGTCGCAGCAAGCATCGCGAACATCCGTCAGTTGTAGCAAATTCGCGGCAGGGAGAAGTACTTGTACATTGTCTTCTGTGACGTGAACTTCGGCCGTGTAGACGTAATCCACTAGTAATTCCAAAGCGGAATAATCCACGCCTTGCAGCGTTATCCTCTCTTGGTCACGTTCCTCGAAACTCGTAAACATGGCATAGAAATAGGGACTGCATGCGGCTAAGACCATTTTATGAGCTGGTACCTCCAAGCCACTGTCTGTTACCAAGATAACGTCACATAGTAAATTTTTCCTAAAAAAGTAACAACATTATTTTAGATTCTCTCGTGCAGTCTTTGAATGTTTTTTATCTTCGATGCAGTGAATCATTCATTCAGCTTGATAAATCATAGTCTTACACACACACACACACACACACACACACACACACACACACACACACACACAGATACGCTTTCCATAGTTACATGATATTTAGGAGCAAAACTTATTCTCGCAAACATACTATCCTTACAAAGATGTGGTAATCCTACTGCACTTGAGCAGACAAACATAGATACTCACTTTCTCATTTCATTAATGACGTCAAAGGCTCTATTTGTATGATGATGGTTCCGATAGGGTGGTTTGTCCTTGCCATTCTCGCGAGGAACATGCTTCTGCGAGCTCTCGTCTAGAGAATTTTGACTAGCGTAGCGAAGTAGCAAGCAGCTGTAATAATAAGAGAGACCAAGTGATCAACATGTAAACTATCCACACATAACTATGCAAATTCCAATAAGCTCTCCGCACGTCGAAGCGTTATCGACCGATTTAACGAGCATCACTCTGTCGCGTTCGAGAGCTCAAGGAGAGATACTCTCTCGACGAGATTCACCTGCCCTTGGTGTCGGAGCCGTCACCGATGTTATTAAGGACGTTCGGCGGTTGATTTTGCCCCATCGGCTCCATTTCGATCGAGTCTCGATTCCAGAGATAAAAAAAACACGATCCAAAGCGCCAAGCTGATATATTCTGCTCGCGCGTGAGAAATAGACCCCCGCTGCGTATGACTCGCCGCGGTCACTGCGATTCGAAGAAGCGTCACCGCGCGTTCGCCATGGCACACGACCGAAAAACGTGGAGAGACCTCCTTTGAACCTTCGAACCGTCGGACGAGCGGATGAATCACTGCGTGATTTCGCGTTATCGTCCACTCGATCCTCCGTCTGTCCGTGCGCGTCTCAGTCGATGAGAGTGAGGCGAAGGCGAGAGATCGCCCGTAGAGTCAGACCATCCGCGTTCAACAACTCGCACGAGCAGAGTCGCACGTACATACGTAAAACCCCAAGAAGCCTCACTACAGCACTGTATTTTGACAGCGCGCACAAATCGTATATACACGTACGGACTCTTCTCTGTCTCTCTGTCTCTCTCTCTCTCTGTCTCTGTCTCTCTCTCTCTCTCTCTCTCTCTCTCAGGCTTGCCTCGTGCTGCCCTCCTTCTCGCACGCTTGACTCGGAGAAAAACAGGCACGTGGCGGCACCTGGCGACGCGAGCGCGCATCGCGTCGGGCTGCGTGCTCGCGCAGGCGTCCAATCATCACGCGGCCCGGCAAAACCGGTCAGTCTGCTGCGGAAGCTGGTGGAAGGTGTTACGATACACCACGATACGACGCGACGCGACGCGACGCGACGCGACGCGCCGTGGCCAAGGACGCGCCAACGACGCGACACGTCGACGCTATCTACGCCGCTCCGTTTCGCACGGCTCCTTCGTCTCTTTCTCTCCGTGTCTCGAAATTCCAGCGTGGCACACGTTTTATTGCCGCGCTCACGCGTCAAACGCCGCCGACTTCTTCCAGCGTTCTCGTCCTTCGTGCGTGCAACCGCGTGCACGAACACGACGACGACGACGGCAACGACGAAGACGACGACGACAACGACGACGACGACGACGACGACGACGACGAGGAGGAGGAAGAAGGTGGATCACGACGGATTCTCCTGGCGTGAAACTTCTCCGGGAGTGTGGTGCTATCCGGCAACGCGGAAGTCGATCGCCCCCCTCGTCGAGTCCTGTCAACGACGAGGCGCAACCTCCTCGCCTCCACTACCGCAACGTCGTTTTCATCTCGAAAAGGTAGGCACGTCCGCCGCACACGCTGCCCCCCGAGTTCGCGGTTGCGCGTTGCGACCCGAACTGCGAATACGAATGCGACTGCGACTTGCGACCCCGACTGGCGCGCGCGCGCGCGCTCATGGCCCCGGCTTTTTTTACAATCGCGCCAAACACGATGATACGCGACGAGAGAGCGCAGACGGACGCACGGGATGCCGTTAGGCATGACCCCGGGCATCCGACGTGATTCCACTGCGGCGCGCCACGCCGCGCCGCTCGAATTTTGTCCAAGCGAGCGAATCGCCGTAGGAGATATCAGCGGCCGCGCGCGCGATAACGCCGTGCCTCGGCTTCGGACCAGTCAGATCGCGCTTGTCTATCTCGCGAGTGTACACACTGGAACTCGCTTTTTTTTCCTCTCCGCGTAATCGTGATTTCGATCGTCGCGTCGCGCCTCCGGGAATCGCGATCACTGGCCGCGTTACCTGCAACCTGCAACTTTGTCCCCTTTTCCCGAGCGCGACGAGACACGCGCGCGCGCGCGTTTCTCCGTAGACGGCGGAGTCGCGGTCTTCGTCACTTTTGGATATTTTTTTCGCTACGCTGAAACACGCATATCGGGCACACATCGGGAGACACGCTCGGGAATTATTATTCCGCTTCTTTCAAAGCGACGCGACCGAGCACAGCGCGTCGTACTCTCTTTCTCTTGAAATTTCTTACCGTGAAAATACACGGCGCGTACGTCGTTCGGTCGTCGCGTCGCAATGAACGGCGCGACATCGAGTCGCGCCCCGGCTTGGTTTTTATTCCGCCTGGCTCTTATTCTCGTGCGCGATACTATCCGGAGATAAATATTTCGAAGTACACAGTCAGCTCCGATTTTAATGAGACTAGGCTCATTCGACGCGTTTTTGCGCGAGAAACAACTTTTTTCTGTGGCAAAATCGTCGCTCAGCTCCGCGAAGCGAGATATGAAGCGTTAAAGCAGATCATAATTCAGGTTAGGAAAGCTGTCATATCGATGAACTTTGGCGACATAAACATGCCTCGTAACTAATTCCGAGTGTTCCGTGACCTTGATGTTGACATATCTAAACCGATTTGTGATATCGTTGCTCGGTAATACATTCGTCGCCTAGAGAAGTGCGTGTATTCGTGCATTAATTCCGCCAATAATAGCAATTTCTTAACATGACATAAACTTCCCGAGTAATATGCAAAAAGTTTTAGTCCGTGCTCACTGTTCGTTTAAAAGTTATTAACAAATGAAGTTAGTGATAAGAGTTTGCACCGAACATGTGTACACACACACACACACCGAAGGGGGCGTGCGGGGGGGCCTTCGGCCCCCTTCGTAATAAGTCGCAAACTCACATGTGACTTTCCATATGAAGCGAGTTTCACCCGTTAACCCTCGAGGGGGGTACGGGTGGGGGCCGAAGACCCCCCCCCGCACGCCCCCTTCGTTGTGTGTGTGTGTGTGTGTGTGTGTGTGTATACATGCTTGGCGCAAACTCTTATCACTAACTTGATTTGTTAATAACTTTAACGAACAGTAAGCACGGACTAAAACTTTTTGCATAATTACTCGGGAAGTTTATGTTAGTTACGAAGCATGTTTATGTCGCCAAAGTTCGTCGATATAACAGCTTTCCTAACCTGAATTATGATCTGCTTTAACGCTTCATATCTCGCTTCGCGGAACTGAGCGACGATTTTGTCACAGGAAAAAATTGTTTCTCGTGCAAAAACGCGTCGAATGAGCCTAGTCTCATTAAAATCGGAGCTGACTGTGTACTTCGAAATATTTACCGATTAGACTCTTAGGATATTCTTCCTGTGCGCGTGTGCGTAGGAAGCTCTTTCATTTGTAAAAATCTACCCTTGAACTGTCCTGATTTGCATACTACTACATCGCGCGACAAGTTTCCGCTTCTCTTTTCACGAGAACAGTCGCGCCGCGCAGCAGAAGAAACACGAACCGGGAACGGTGTGTTGTCGGCGCATCTCGTGTATGCGCGTTGTCAAAAAATGAATTTCTCCAAAATTTTTTCTCCGACGAATCTCTCGTACTCGTGTGTGCGCGCGCACACGAGTTTCGTACGTACGTACGTACGTGTGTGTGTGTGTGCGTGCGTGCGTGCGTTTTCGTGTCGCTCGTCGAGCATAATGCCGCAACGAGGAAACGATTCGCGGAAGGATCTGCTCGAAGTCGTAAATTTCATCGTCGAGCGAAAATATGAAAAAGAAATAAAAACGAGGAGGAGAGGAAACGAATGTTTGACATGCGTCGCCCACGCATGTGTCTCGCGGTTCAACGTAATGAATGCCGAGAAATGATATTGTTTATCGCAACAGACACGAACGTAGTGACCTTCGAAGGTAGTGACGAAGTAGCTGTTTTATCTTTTCTAGTAGATAAGGAAATTTAAATGGACGTGCGTGTGTATGGTTTTTTTCGAATATAGCGAAATTGTGTCATTGTGTTCTTTGCGCAGTCGCCGTCACGGCGGAGCGCGATCGGAAATGAACGGGACGTCCAGCTTGCGCACGTGCGTATCTTTCCTAAAACGCGGCGACGGGAAAGCGGCCGATGCGATCGAATAGCGTGCGCGATATTAGCACGATGGGGAGATACCGCGATAAAGTATATCAGTCGTCCCGTGAACGATATGACTTGGCGCGGTGCGGAAGAGCCGCGTGAGTGAGAGAGGCAGGCCAGGCGCGCCCGCGCGCGCGAGATGCGCAGCATTGTTACAAGTGCAAGGTTACATGCAACGTACGTACATTGTGTATCCGACTGATTATTTCCTCCCGGTAAACGGTTGCTCGCTCTCGCGCTTCGGCATCGAGCCGAGTCACGCCGTATCGGATTTTCAGCAGCGATTTTTCGCGCTGTATTATATCGTTAACTGCACTCGGCGGTGATTCGAATGATTTCTAAGTATCACTCGCGATAATTGCATCGCGTCGAGTGGACGCGACTCTCGGGGTCGACTCGCGGAATTTCACGTCTGATTCTCGGTAATGTAATCTGGGAAAAAATTGCGAGATAGAGAGATAGAATGTTACACAATAGTTATCTATAGCAGTAGGAAATGTAAAGTTCGGTAAAGCGCGCGGTGATGTCACGAGAAAAAATGAGCAGTGGATGTGCAGAAAAAAAAAATAGAAGAAACGTCGAGATTCGAAGCGGAGCGATGCTTCGAACAGGCTGTGACATTCTGACATTCGAAATCCGAGACGATGTTTCGAAGATTTCGCGAAATCTCTCAGAAATATAATATGCCGAAATGTTGCGATTCAAACATCAAAACGTATAGTTTTGGGCTCGTGATAGTTTTTCAGGAATTTCCGAACGTACTTTAGTAAGATGGTATCTCCTACATTTACACATCTCATTTCGGAGTAATAGCGTTTCGGAATGATATGTGTATTTTTCAACATTTCGAGGAAATGTCGTATTTCACTGCCTCGAAACTGTCACATGACTTTGCCAATCGAGAACGCGGACGGGTGCATACAAGCGCCGTCGTGTCAAGTTCTCTCCGTCAAGTTGGGTTCGTTGCTCATTCTATCGGACGTGTCTTAATAATTGAAACATCGAATTGAAATATCGCCGACACAATGCGCGATATTCAACAGGCCAATTTATTAACAGGCTCGATACGACTTATAAATAAATCCAAAAGCAATTCGCCTCGCGCAAAGCGCTCGCGCCTGTTCGTCGTTCTTCTAATTTCAATCCGGAAGCCCCCCTCTCTCTCTCTCTCTCTCTCTCTCTCTCTCTCTCTAGTCCATTTCTCAGATGGGCTTAATAATTCAACCAAGTAGGTCGCACGAAGCCGCGAGCGAGGTGCCACTTGTGAGTTGAATGATAAATCTTGAACGATAAATCTTCGACTTGTATCAGTATCGGCGAACGCATTATCGCCTTCGCTATCGGCTTCACCTGCTTGTCTCGCGGGAGAAGCCCCTCGGTGACCCTCTCACCCTCCGCGAAATCCGCGCGCGCCCGAAATCGAAGCGTCTCGTGGTGCCGCTTCCATGTTCGCGCGTGACCGCGAAAGTCGGACGATTCGGCCAACGACGGCGGCGACGGTGACGATCCACCACCGTGAGATTTCTAATACGCGTATCCGAACGTGCCGCGACTGGCTAACAGAAAGTTCACACTCGAGGAGCCGAGGTAGCTCGTGTGTTCGGTGAAAAAGAAAGCGGTCGCTCGCACAGCCGCGAACGGAACGACTCACTCGATAAATACTGACGC